TAGTAGAGACAGGGTTTCACCATGTTGACCAGGATGGTCTCGATCTCTTGACCTCCTGATCCACCCACCTCGGCCTCCCAAAGTGCTGGGATTACAGGCTTGAGCCACCGCGCCCGGCCCTTGGAAGGCATTTTTAAAGCATAGTTTGGAAAAAAAATCTCTATAGCACTCACGTCTTTCAAAAGTATCTTCGACAGGAACTGCAGTTCCTCAACTACTTTCTGTACTTCACTTGGTTGGACAGGCAGCGTGTGGCAGGCCAGCCAGCTTCCCAGGCAGCAGAGCAGGAACAGCACAGACGTGGCGGGGCCTGAGGAGAGAACGATGAGGTGAGCACATGCTTCACACACCCCTGCCCATCCCGGCTCCATCCCTCCAGCTGCTGCTGAGCCATCCCTGGGGCGAGTGCTTCCAGAGTCTTCCTGGCGACATAGATGATGCCCAAGACTTCGGAAGCACCAGGACCAGTGATACCTGAGTGAGAGGCCATGGCGAGAGGGCGTGAGGCCGGCTGTGGAGGGGGCACTGGAGCCAGATGTGCTGGCCATGGCTGCCTGGAGATTATAAAGGGCCGGGCTGAGGAGGAAGAGCCGTCAGCGTCCTGCCCATGGCAAAACGACTACTCAGCTTTTCTCCAGAAAACACTCAAAGTTCTGCCGGTCATGGTGGGTGAAAGGGCTGGAAGGAAATGCTGAGGTTACCCTCAAGGTGGGCAGATGCCTGACTCAGCGCAGATACACAGACTTCACAGGAAGGCACAGGCATCTTTGCCTTTTCTTCCTGGAAGGAGCCTGTCGATTTGATTAGACAAAATTTTGAAGCCCAGCATTGACAGACACGATCTACGACCAAGGAGTGGGTGACCTACAGGGGTTCACGGGCAGGGCCCACAGGGAATTTCTGGGGAGGAAATGCGAAGCCGGCATAAGATGCGCAGAATGTGGTATCTCTGGAAATTTCTGCAGCCTATGCCCACGCCAGTGTGAGGGACCGCCCCGTAGCAGCCGTGAGCGCAGCGGGTCGAAGGCTCCATCTCAACTCTGCATGGCCTTGGACATCACTGGACTGTCCGCCATGGCTCTGCAACCTCAGGGCCCAGAACCAGAGACTGTGCTCCTCAGTTATTGGTTGAAATCCTTGTTCATATGGCCTTGAACTCCTGATCTTGAGATCTGCCGTGGCCTCCCAAAGTGCTGGGATTACAAGCGTGAGCCACCATGCCCGGCCTCAAATTTTTGTATTTTTAGTAGAGATGGGGCTTCACCATGTTGGGAGGAGGTCGGTCTGGGCGGCCCATAGAACCCAAGATACGCAGAGGGACACAGCCAGGAAGCGCCGCCACCCTTCACCCCAAGGTCCCCTGCAGCCACCACTGACTTTTTCTTTACTTCCCAAACTGCCACAATATGGCTTTCACCACCCCAATAATTTAATCAAAATCCTCTAGCACAGTCCATGGTAGGCATGACTTTCATCCACAGGTGTTTACTACCATAATTCTGTTGCATTGCCTGGCAAATGGGTTTTGTAGATGTAGTCATAGTTACCAATCAGTTTACCTAAGACAGAGACATTATCCCATGTTCCCTGGCAGGCCACAGTGCAATCCCATGAGCCCATAAAGCAGAAGAGGAAGTCGGAGAGATTCCGAGTCAGAGAAGGGCTCACCTGCCGTTGCTGGCTTGAAGATGGAGGGGGCGGCCTGGAAAGTTCGAGAAGGAAATAATTTGGTCAGTAACCACTGAGCTTGGAAGGGGATGCTGAACCTAGATGAAAATCCTAGCCAGCCAGCATTTTTATTTTAGCTCTGTGAGTTCCTGAGCAAAGAAGCTATCCACAGCATGCTAGGACTGACCTACAGACACTATGAGAAAGAAAGTGTTCGTGTGCGTGCGTGTGTGTGTGTGTGTGCATGCGTGTGTAATGGACAGCATCTTGCTCTGCCACTCAGGCTGGAGTGCAGTGGTGTGATCATGGCTCACTGCAGCCTTGACCTCCCAGACTTGAGTAGCCCTCCTACCTCAGCCTCCCAAGTAGCTGGGACTATCGGCCCACACCACCATGCCTGGCTAATTTTTGTATTTTTGTAGTGATGGGGTCTCACGATGTTGGCCAGGCTGATGTTGAACTCCTGGACTCAAGCAATCCCGCCTCAGCTTCCCCAAGTGCTGGATCACAGGCGCTAGCCACTGCACCTGGTCACATTTGTGTGTGTGTGTGTGTTTAAATTTTTATTTATTTATTATTATTTTGTGATGGGGTCTGGCTCTGTTGCCCAGGCTGGAGTACAATGACACAATCTTGGCTCACTGCAACCTCTGCCTCCTGGGTTCAAGTGATTCTCCTGCCCTAGCCTCCTGAGTAGCTGGGATTACAGGCGTGAGCCACCATGCCCAGCTAATTTTAATATTTTCTGTAGAGACAGGGTTTCACCATATTGGCCAGGCTGGTCTCAAACTCCTGACCTCAAATGATCCACCCACCTCAGCCTCCCAAAGTGCTGGGATTACAGGCAGGGGCCACCACGACTGGCCACATTTGTGGATTTAAACTGCTGTTTGTGCTATTTGTTATGGCAGCAATGGAGAACTAATACAGACCCAGAGACTGCATGTTGTCAGCCTTACCGGGGTTTCAGCCTTCATTTTACGTCACCCTCTATGGCATGAAACGTCACCAACCACTTCCACCTTCGTGACAAGCCCTTGTTCCTCTCCTGTAACGTCTTTCCAACCCATTTTGCCCCTCTCCCTCGCTCCATGGTCTCTACCAGCGATCTGGACTCCTCACACTTCAGTGTCTGTCTCCTTCACTCTCCAGACCTGAATGTCCCACCGGCACCTCCAAATCAACATGCCCAAAGTGGGTGAGAACAGGGCAATAGTGACTTGGATGGACTGTGGAAATGTTTAGCAGGGAAAGTACGTAAGAGGTGGCTTTTTTTTTCTTTTTGAGACGGAGTTGCCCAGGCTGGAGTGCAATGGCATGATCTCGGCTCACCGCAACCTCCACCTCCCAGGTTCAGGCGTTTTTCCTGCCTCAGCCTCCCATGTAGCTGGGATTACAGGCATGTGCCCCCACACCCGGCTAATTTTGTATGTTTAGTAGAGACGGGGTTTCTCCATGTTGGCCAGGCTGGTCTCAAATCCCCGACCTCAAGTGATCTGCCCGCCTCAGCCTCCCAAAATGTTGGGATTACAGGCGTGAGCCACGGCACCCGGCCAGAGGTGGCATTTGATTGGGTATAGGGATAGTGGTGAGGGAAGAGTTGAGGGTGACTTCTAGGTTTCTGGTTTGGGCAACTGGATGAATGATATTTACTCAAATATCAAACTAAGAGCATCACAGGCCTAAGGCCTTTAGGGCTTGGGTGAGGTGATGAATTTCGGCTCTTTGCTTGTTGGTTGGCTGGGTTTTGTTTTGTTTTCTTTTCTTTAAGAGGCAGAGTCTCACTCTGTCACCCAGGCTAGAGTGCAGTGGTGCCATCACAGCTCACTGTAGCCTCGAACTCCTAGGCTTATGTGATCCTCCTGCCTTAGCCTCCTGTGTAGCTGGGCTACAGGCACACAGCACACTGCCATGCCTGGGTAATTTTTTAACTTTAATTTTTGTAGGAATAAGATCCTGGCCAGGCGTGGTGGCTCACGCCTGTAATCCAAGCACTTTGGAGGCCAAGGTGGGCGGATCACCTGAGGTCAGGAGTTCAAGACCAGCCTGACCAACATGGCGAAACCCCATCTTTAAAAAAAAAAAGATATGGCCGGGCGCGGTGGCTCAAGCCTGTAATCCCAGCACTTTGGGAGGCTGAGGCGGGTGGATCACGAGGTCAAGAGATCGAGACCATCCTGGCCAACATGGTGAAACCCCGTCTCTACTGAAAATACAAAAAATTAGCTGGGCATGGTGGTGCGTGCCTGTAATCCCAGCAACTCAGGAGGCTGGGGCAGGAGAATTGCCTGAACCCAGGAGGCGGAGGGTGCGGTGAGCCGAGATCGCGCCATTGCACTCCAGCCTGGGTAACAAGAGTGAAACTCCGTCTCAAAAAAAAAAAAATCCTGCTATGTTGCCCAGGCTGGTCTTGACTTGGGCTCAAGCAATCCACCCGCCTTGGCTTTCCAAAGTGCTGGGGCTGCAGGTGTGAACCACACGCCCAGCCTAATTCAGTTTTGTTTGTTTGTTTTTGAGACTGAGTCTCACTCTCATTCAGGCTGGAGTAAAGTGGCCCAATCTCAACTCACTGCAAACTCCACCTACTGGGTTCAAGGGATTCTCCTGCCTCAGCCTCCGGAGTGTCTGGGATTACAGGTGCCCGCCACCATGCCTGGCTAATTTTTGTATTTTTGGTAGAGACAGGGTTTCGCCATGTTGGCCAAGCTGGTCTTCAACTCCAGAGCTCAAGAGATTAGCCTGCCTCGGCCTCCCAAAGTGCTGGGACTCGGCCTCCCAAAGTGCTGGGATTTGGCCTCCCAGGTGCGAGCCACACGGCCAGCCTGATTCAGCTTTTGACACAGTGAATGAGAATGTTACGGAACCCTCAGCTGAAGTCACACAGCAGGCCATTGGACGTGTGGACCTGAGCATGAAGGAAGGAACTACCAACATAAATGTGGTTGCCATCAAGGTATTGTGGCAGATAAAACTGTAAGCCGGTAAGAGATGAGCAGTGTGAGGTATGGGAGTCAAGTGTGGAGCCCTGGGACATGCCTTCATTCACGGGACAAGGAGAAGATGATGATTTAGTCTAGAACATGTAGAAGGTGCTCTCAAGAGAAAAAGACGGCCAGGTGTGGTGGCTCACGCCTGTAATCCCCGCCCTTTGGGAGGCCGAGGTGAGCAGATCCCGAGGTCAAGAGATTGAGAACAGCCTGGCCAACATGGTGAAACCCCGTCTCCACTAAAAATACAAAAACTAGTTGTGTGTGGTGGTGGTGCCTGTAATTCCAGCTACTCAGGAGGCTGAGGCAGGAGAATCACTTGAACCCGGGAGGTGGAGGCTGCAGAGGGCCAAGATCGCGCCGCTGCACTCCAGCCTGGTGACAGAGCAAGACACTGTCTCAAAAAAAATGACAGCGAGAAAAAGAAAAGCACCAGAAATACATGTTGTTATGGAATAAGATGAAAAGTAACTTTCAAGAAGGAGGAAATGGTTGACATCATCAAAAGCCATGAAGAGGTGAAATAAGATAAAGGCTGCAGAGATTCACTAGATTGGGCAACATGAGGTCACAGGAACTGTGCTGGGAGAGTTTGAATACACTTTTGGTTTGGTATATTGTGGTGGTTTGGGAAGTAAGGAAAAAGTGAGCATAGGCCGGCTGTGGTGGCTCACGCTTGTAATCCCAGCACTTTGGGAGGCCAAGGCAGGCAGATCACTTGAGGACAGGAGTTTGAGACCATCTTGGCCAACATGATAAAGCCCCATCTCTACTAAAAATGCAAAAATTAGCCAGGCATGGTGGTGAGCACCTGTAATTTCAGCTACTCGGGAGGCTTGAACCCAGGAGGCGGAGGCTGCAGAGGGCCGAGATTGTGCCACTGCACTCCAGTCCAGCGACACAGCAAGACTCCGTCTCAAAAAATAAATAAGGGAAAAAAAGGGAGCCTAGACCACTGTGTCAAGAAGCATGGATGAGAAGGAAGAGAAAAAGAGACAGCGATGGCTGTAGGGGACTTGGGATGAAGGGTGGAAGGGCTTCCTGGGGGGGCCCTTCTGTGCACCTTGGGTTCTATGTACCACCCAGACCTGACCTCATCCCTGAGCTTCCTAACCAATGGCTGATTTGACAGACACCCATTGGCATCTGGACCTTAACTTGTTTCAGACAGAATGTGTGATTTCTCCTGAGTCTTGTCTTCCTTCGCTGCACATCGTCCACCTGTTGCTCCATCAAAATCCCAGGAGCCCCATCTGTGGTTCATCTCCTTGACTTATTTATATCAGTATGGACTCATAGATATTGATTTTATTCTTTGAGGGCTAGGCAGGGTGTCTCATGCCTATGATCCCAGCACTTTGGGAGGCCGAGGTGGGTGGATCACTTGAAGTCAGGAGTTCGAGACCAGCCTGGGCAACATGGTGAAACCCCATCTCTACTAAAAAATACGAAAACCTCAGCCAGGCATGGTGATGCGTGCCTGTAGTCCCAGCTACTCAGGAGGCTGAGCTGGGAGGACCACTTTAGCTTAGGAGGTCCAGGCTTCAGTGAGCTGCTATGATCACGCCACTGCACTGTAGCCTGGATGACAAAGTGAGACCTGTCCCCCAACCAAAAAAAAAACGATATTTTCTTCTTTGAAAGAAGATATGGTCATCTTTTTGCCTTAAATCCCAGTTTTGGATAATTTTTCTAATAACAGTAAAGTTGTCCTGATACCGTTTAGTTAAAAAGACTGAGAGATGTTGATGTGTTCTTCCATGTCGGGGATGGGTCAGAGCGGCCAGAGTGGTGGGAAAAACTATAGGAAAAGGACACAAACCTACTGAAAAGTCAGAGGTTTTGCAGAGCCCTGGGGGAGAATAGCTGAAGGCAGCTGTTATCTAGCCCTGAGGCAGAGGGTGAGGAGTGAAGGGGGAAGTTATCTGATCAGGCTTGTTTGTTTGAAGTTGTCCAGGAACTGACCTTTGAACATCTACTGGTGAAGTTCCCTGAAACGGGAACAATAAGTGTTAATTACTTACAGATTGTGTTTGCTCCAGGCATTTGGCATTGTGGCTGCACTGGATGAAAGCGAGCAGCTCCAGCATCTGCAGCTGCCTCTCTGGCCACTAGAGCCAGGCAGTCCCCTTGCTGCTCTTACACTGCATACCCTGTGTCTGAGTACTCATTTCATCAGCCGGCCAGAGTCTGCAGGACAGACCCAGAACCTCCAAAATTCATTTGTCAGAACCTGATGCCCAGTGTGATAGTATCAAGAGGTGGGGTCCTTTGGGAAGTGATTCAGTATGGGGGCTCCTCATGAATGGGATTAATGTCCTTACAGAAGGGGTTTCATGGGCAGTGTGGGTTGCCTGACCTCAGGAGTTTGAGACCAACCTGGGCAACGTGGTGAAACTCCATCTCTACTAAAATACAAAAAATTAGCCGGAAGTGATCATGCGCCTGTGATCCCAGCTACTCGGGATGCTGAGGCAGGAGAATCACTTGAACCTGGGAGACAGAGGTTGCAGTGAGCCGAGATTGGGCGCCTGCACTCCAGCCTGGACAACAGAGTAAGACTCCATCTAAATAAAAAATAAAATGAGGTCTGAGTGCTTAAACAGTTATACAGGTGGACAGTGATAAAACCCCCGGCTGCAGGCTTAGAGACCCACCCTGGCACCCACTGGCTGGCTGGAGATGTTTGACCTTGGGGTCTCTTCTCTTTTCTCGATCTGTCAGATGGGTATAGGATGACTTTTGGTGGGGAGTGCTTGAGAGGAGTTAAGAAACAGGTCAGCTATGGCGCTCACTGCCTGCGGGAGCTGCCACACCTGGAACCACCAGCTGTGATCCCATTTTACAGATGAGGGCAGAAGAGAAAACCCAGGTGGTTGGGGCCGAGCTGTCTGTGATCCGGGTGGGGGCCTTTTCCTCGCGGCAGGTGCGCGCACCTGGAGAGGCCCCGGGCCTCGCGCACGCGTCCTGGAGGTTGCCGGGCAACGCAGCCCCGCGGCCATGGAGGCGTCCTCGGAGTCCGAGTCTGAGGCCGGGCCTGGGACCCAGCGGCCCGGGACGGGGACCGTGAGCGCGGCCGTGCGCGAGCACCTGCGGAAGCTGTGTCTGCGCGAGTTCCCGTGCGGCGCGGGCAGCTGGGTGCGGGCACCGGGGCCGGGGCTCTGGGGGCCTGGAGCGGCTGCAGGGAGGGACGTGCCCGGGCGAGCGGGGTGGGCCGAGGGGCTGGCGCAGGGGCGGGCTAGTCCCTGGGGCCTGGGATCTGCGCATTTTGGGGGCCGCCGACGTGGGGGCGGGTAGGGCTCGGGGGTGACGGCGAGGCCCGGGCTGTGGGTACTGCCTGGGGGAGCGCAGGGCCCGTCCTGAGCACATCAGCTGACCTGGGCCGGGGCTTCTCCCTGACTTGAAGACGCCAACACCCCAGATTTCCAGTGGGCAGGCTCCTTTTGGGGTGAAAACCTTTTGTTTTGGTCAAAGAGTTCTGCAACTTTTCCCAGCCTCCGAGCATGTAACGAGATCTCAAGGCCGCGTGAGAGATCGCTCTGAGCCTGCAGCCTGTGACCTGGGGTCCAGGAGAAGGGGTCACCCCCCCCATCCCGTCTCCAGAGTCCTAGACCCTTCCCTCCCGTGGCTTCAACCACGAGGGAAGCCCAGGTGTGGCCCCAGGAAGACCTCTTGCCCAGGCTGGAGTGCAGTGGAGTGATCTCAGCTCACTGCAACCTTCGCCTCCGGGTTCAGGCAATTCTCCTGCCTCAGCCTCCCCAGTAGCTGGCATTACAGGCCTGCGTCACCACGCCTAGCTAATTTTTGTATTTTTAGTAGAGACAGGGTTTCTCCATGTTGCCCAGGCTGGTCTCAAACTCCTGACCTCAAGTGATCCTCCAGCTTCAGCCTCTCAAAGGAATGGGACGTTTTACTTATTTTGTGTGTCCCCTCATCTATGGTTATATCCGTGGCTAATAATCCATCAGAATTATTGATTACTGTCTAGATTGCTAAACTCTTTATCCCCAATCTTCCAGTTTTACGATCTGTTCCGTTTTGAGAGTCTGGCATCCATAGGGGGCTGTGTCACACCTGGAGAAATCCCCTCTCTGCCACTGCAGAATAAGTCGCGATTTCTTCCTCAAACTTGGCGAACGTGGAGGGAGCTGGTCCCCAGAGAGGAGGACGTGGTGAGCCCCGGGGAGGAGACGGTGGAAGCCCTGCTGGGCCTGGTCCGCAGCCCCCAATCCCCCTGGGCTCTGCTGAATGACTCCAACTCGGAAGACAGTTTCCTGAGAGAACTGGCCATCCGGAACCCGCTGATGATCCGAGACACCTTCTTCTACTCCTATTTCCGGTCCCTGCGGGTGGTGGACAAGGAGGTGAGTGCCGGGCGTCGGGGGAGGGGTGATGTTGGGGTGGCCGCTCCCCTAAGGGAGGTTGGGGGGAGGGCACCCTTCCCACAGCGCCTCTGGGGTCCTCCTCTGGGGGCTGGAGCCAAGGCCAGCCTGCCCTCCGTCTGCTTCATCTCCCTGGCTTGTGTGTCAGGCCCGGCCGGCTGCTCCGTCAGCCTTGTGTCTCTTCTTCCTTCACCCTTGACCACCATCTTCCATAGCTGAGTTCTGCAGTGGACCCAGCTGCAGAACTGGTTTTTCGAAGGGTCTGTTTTAGTTTTACTTCCTCTAAACCATGGGGGTCAGGGGAGGGGAGGGTTGGTGTAGTTCTAACTATTTTAATTTCTGTCACCAAAAAGCCACCTTTGTCTACATCGGTAGCAGAGCCCAGGCTGGGAGAGGTGGCTCCCTGGTGCTAATAATCGCAGCACTTTGGGAGGCTGAGGCAGGAGGTTCCTTTGAGTCTAGGTGTTAGAGACCAGCCTGGGCAACATAGTGGGACCCCGACTCTATAAAATTTTAAAATGTAGGCCAGGCGCGGCAGCTCACGCCTGTAATCCCAGCACTTTGGGAGGCCAAGGCGGGCAGATCATGAGGTCAAGAGATCAAGACCATCCTGGCCAACATGGTGAAATCCCGTCTCTACTAAAAAATGCAAAAATTAGCTGGGCATGGTGGCGCGTGCCTGTAGTCCCAGCTACTCAGGAGGCTGAGGCAGGAGAATTGCTTGAACCCAGGTGGTGAAGATTGCAGTGAACCAAGATTCGGCCACTGCACTTCAGCCTGGCGCCTGGCAAAAAATCAAGACTCTGTCTCAAAAAAAAAAAAAAAAAATTTAAATGTAGCCAGGTATGGTGGTGCATGCCTGTAGCCCCAGCTACTCAGATGCTGAGGCAGAAGGATCACTTGAGCTGGGGAGGTAGAGGCTGCAGTGATCATGACTGCACCATTGCACTCCAGCCTGGGTGACAGAATGAGATCGTGTCTCAAGCAAGCGTGAGACTCTGTCTCAATAAATAAATAAATCCAGCAAGCCAGCCCAAAAATTGCCTGGAAACTTGGCCTCAGCCTTCTGAAGCCTTGGCTTTCTTTTTCCAGAGCCACTAGGAAGCGACACAGCAATAGGGGACAAGTAGGTGACTGACTGGTAGCCGTTTGCCAGGGACTTCCAGTGTCTGTGCATAAAGTTTCGCGTCCTGGGAACAAACTTCTGTCCTGGGCAGACTGGCACATTGGTGACCCTGGAGGAGGAAGGTCTGGCTGGGAAGGGCCCCTGGTGTCTTTGAGGCCACAGGGAACTGAGGAGTCATGGATGAGTCACTGCAGCTTCTGGTCAGACCCTGCTCTGGGTGACTCCTGAAGACCTTGACTGACTTCAGTGCCCAGAGTTCCTTGTGGCTCTGGGGTAGACAGAAAGAAGACAGGTTCCTGCCCTCGTGGGCAGCTGATGGTCCGACAAAGGACACAGGTCACTGGCCTGGAAATCATGTACCACCTACAGTCAGAGGAAGGATGGAGGCTGGGAGGGGCTCTTGGATCCTGGCAGAACCATGCAGTGTGGGAACAGCCTCCGGGGAAGCAGCGGGTGGGAATGCAGGGCAGGCAACTCTGATGAAGGAGCCACTGTCTTTCTACTGTGGGCGGGGGCTCTGTGCTCCCTCACCCACCACAGCCCTCGGCTTCTCCCCTCTTCCAGGTGACCCTGGTGGATAAAGACCTCCTGAAATTTCTAAAGCTGGAGGAATTGGTACTGAGCGCCAATCGAATCAAGGAGGTGGAAGCTGCCAATCTGCCCCCCACACTTAAGGTGAAGGAACCTGGTCCGTGCCGAGTCTTTGGGCCAGCACTGCCCAGAGGTCTTGCCCTACCCTGCCCGGCATAGGTGTGGCCAGCGTGGGTGGAGGCTAGGACCCAGCTCCAGGCTTTTAAAATGGAGGTCACTTTCCTCAAAAAGTTCGTCATAGAATTACTGCAAGACCCAGTGCTTCAATTCCTAGGTGTATCCATGAAGGAACTGAAGACAGGGACGTAGCCAGAGTCTCGTCTTCCAGAGTTCAGAGCTGTGCTCCTCACCATAGCGGAAGGGTGGGCTCAACTCAAGTGTCTAAAAACAGATGAATGGATAAACAAACAAATGTGGTCAGGCCGGGCATGGCGACTCATGCCAGTAATCCCAGCACTTTGGGAGGCCGAGGAGGGCGGATCACCTGAGGTCGGGAGTTTGAGACCAGCCTGGCCAACATGGCAAAATCCCATCTCTACTATACAAAAATTAGCTGGGTGTGGTGTCGCATGCCTGTAATCCCACCTACCTGGGAGGCTGAGACAGGAGAATCGCTTGAACCTGGGAGGCAAGAGTTGCAGTGAGCCGAGATCGTGCCACTGCACTCCAGCCTGGTGGCAGAGTGAGACTCTGTCTCAAGAAAAAAAAAGTCATCTCTCCGTACAATAGAATGCTATTCACTCATAGAAAGGAATGAAGTAGGCCTATAATCCCAGCGCTTTGGGAGGCCGAGGTGGGCAGACTGCCTGTTCTCAGGAGTTCCAGACCAGCCTGGGCAACATAGGGAAACTCATCTCTACAAAAATACAAAAATTAGCCCAGCATGGTGGCATGCTCCTGTA